CCCCTCTCAGACATTGTTAATGACAAAGACTAGAAGGTTTCTACACCCCTCTCAGACATTGTTAATGACCACGACTAGATGGTTTCTACACCCCTCTCAGATTTTGTTAATAACAAAGACTAGAAGGTTTATACACCCCTCTCAGACATTTTTAATGACAAAGACTAGAAGGTTTCTACTCCCCTCTCAGACATTGTTAATGATCAAGACTAGAAGGTTTGTACTCCCCTCTCAGACATTGTTAATGACAAAGACTAGAAGGTTTCTACACCCCTCTAAAACATGATAGGGGTAGATAGTGGAGTGTATATGAAGGTAAAACATGATAGGGGTAGATAGTGGAGTGTATATGAAGGTATAACATGATGGGGTAGGTAGTGGAGTGTATATGAAGGTATAACATGATAGGGGTAGGTAGTGGAGTGTATATGAAGGTATAACANCCTACTACCCTCTCAGAAATTGTTAATGACAAAGACTAGAAGGTTTCTACACCCCTCTCAGACATTGCTAATGACCAAGACTAGAAGGTTTCTACACCCCTCTCAGACATTGCTAATGACCAAGACTAGAAGGTTTCTACACCCCTCTCAGACATTGCTAATGACCAAGACTAGAAGGTTTCTACTCCCCTCTCAAGACATTGTTATTGACAAAGACTAGAAGGTTTCTACTCCCCTCTCAGATTTTGTTAATAACAAAGACTAGAAGGTTTCTATACCCCTCCTAGACATTGTTAATGACCACTACCAGAAGGTTTCTACTCCCCTCTCAGACATTGTTAATGACCAAGACTANATGTATATACTGTATCTGAATGTGTAACATGAGTACTTAGGTTAACTTTGGTTTTAAAATCAAATAATTTTATTTACATTATCCTTGGAATCTTGTACCAATAAAACTGTCATCCTTCACATTGAACTACCAGAGATTTTTTGTAAAGAACACAAAATTATAACAATTGATTTCAGAGGATGAAAATGATAAAGTTTAATGAATTTTGGTTTACTGTAGAACAGTAAGTTATGAATCTTCCTGATTATTTTCTCCAGTGAAATAAGAAGATGGAGAGAAAATCGGGACTATGAGAATGAACTTATGAAGGATGTGGATGGTTGGGTTACTGGAACGTTCTTCGGAGAGAAGGTGTATGTGGATGACGAACGTTGCTATAGTCCTTCAGGAATCGAGTTTTACGCTCATAACAAGGCTTCAACCTATAATCACCATTTCTACAAAAGGTTACAAAGATTTTAGATGTGTGGTATTGTGTACTGATTGATTAAAGACTAAGTTTTGAAACTCAACATTATAATCTGAAGACACTAGAAAAAGAAATAGTTTTGTGTCAATTATTTGAATAAATAATACAATGTATTTAAAAAGTGAAAGTTGGTTTTTCATTCAATGTATTCAATTGATACTTTGAAATACAATGGTGTCAGATGCATCTTTTAGTATATGTACAAGGCTTGGCTACACAAAAACACACAATAACCAAGATCACGACAGAAATGTTGCTTCTGTGTTCCTTTCTGAAATACATATGTAAATTTTTGAAGAAATATCTGTTTATTGATCACTTGCCTATGTATCTGTTATCTCACATAGATTTCCATTTCGTATGAGGTATACAAAAGTGTAAAGTCTTTTCTACTCCCTTCTCAGACATTGTTAATGACCAAGACTAGAAGGTTTCTACACCCCTTTCAGACATTGTTAATGACAAAGACTAGAAGGTTTCTACACCCCTCTTAGACATTGTTAATGACCACGACTAGATGGTTTCTACACCCCTCTCAGATTTTGTTAATAACAAAGACTAGAAGGTTTCTACACCCCTCTCAGACATTGTTAATGACAAAGACTAGAAGGTTCCTTCTCCCCTCTCAGACATTGTTAATGATAAAGACTAGAAGGTTTCTATACCCCTCTCAGACATTGTTAATGACCAAGACTCGAAGGTTTCTACCCCCCTCTCAGACATTGTTAATGACCAAGACTAAAAGGTTTCTACACCCCTCTCAGACATTGTTAATGACATAGACTAGAAGCTTTCTACCCCCCTCTCAGACATGGTTAATGACAAAGACTAGAAGGTTTATACACCCCTCTCAGACATTGTTAATGATAAAGACTAGAAGGTTTCTATACCCCTCTCAGACATTGTTAATGACCAAGACTAGAAGGATTCTACACCCCTCTCAGACATTGTTAATGACAAAGACTAGAAGATTTCTACACCCCTCTCAGACATTGTTAATGACATAGACTAGAAGGGTTCTACTCCCCTCTCAGACATTGTTAATGACAAAGACTAGAAGATTTCTACACCCCTCTCAGACATTGTTAATGACCAAGACTCGAAGGTTTCTACTCCCCTCTCAGACATTGTTTATGACAAAGACTAGAAGGTTTATACACCCCTCTCAGACATTTTTAATGACAAAGACTAGAAGGTTTCTACTCCACTCTCAGACATTGTTAATGACCAAGACTAAAAGGTTTCTACACCCCTCTCAGACATTGTTAATGACAAAGACTAGAAGATTTCTACACCCCTCTCAGACATTGTTAATGACCAAGACTAGAAGGTTTATACACCCCTCTCAGACATTTTTAATGACAAAGACTAGAAGGTTTCTACTCCACTCTCAGACATTGTTAATGACCAAGACTAAAAGGTTTCTACACCCCTCTCAGACATTGTTAATGACCACGACTAGATGGTTTCTTCACCCCTCTCAGATTTTGTTAATAACAAAGACTCGAAGGTTTCTACACCCCTCTCAGACATTGTTAATGACAAAGACTAGAAGGTTTATACACCCCTCTCAGACATTGTTAATGACCAAGACTAGAAGGTTTATACACCCCTCTCAGACATTGTTAATGACATAGACTAGAAGGTTTCTAC